TGGGTTAGCTGTTAAATATCTAGAGATTTGGTTACAACAAACGAAATTCTTGATGAATTGGCAAATTTCCCATGAAAATTAAAAATCACATTATAATTTTTAATAAATTTTTTGTATAATATTGCATTTGATAAGAAGTTACTAAAACTTATTTTTAAATTATTTTCTAGTCAAATTTTATACAAACTATAATTAATATTTCCAATAAAAAAAATTTATTTTACTTATATTGTATGAGAATTTAAGCTGAGGCTAGTTTTTAAAGCAAATTTTATATTAAAAAAAATGACACTAAACTTTATTTCAATTTTACATTTAAAAATTTTTAAAATTAAATATAATATACCTAACTTCAAATAAAAAATTGGGTTATAACCTTTATTTCTTCTTTAAATATCCATAGGTGTGAATTAGTAAATAAGAGCTAAAAATATGAATATAATTATTATTGAATTATGAATAATTTAATAGAATAATAACTTAAAGATATGACCCAGCCAAAGGTCGGGAAAAAGCTGGCCGAAGGCCAGCAAATGAAGGTTTGGGGGCCACACCCAAAAGTTTCCCCCTATAAGAAGCCACTGGAAAATATCATAAAACAAAAAATGATTATTTCGTCAAAAAATTTAATGTAAAATCTATGCCTTCCAATATATTTAAAGCAGCGTCTACATGACAGGATTTTCATTGGATGCAAACCCCCTTCAAAAACTTTTGCCTACCCCCTAAAAATCGCCGCCCCTTCGGCGGCGGTGTCTCTTTATTTTTATTTTGACCTTTATAATTATATTGATACTCTTTTCAGAGAATTTATAAAGATAACTTAAATTAATCTATCTCTACCAACTAATTTTGTGATTATAAAGAATTTTTTTTTAGATAATAAATTCAATCAAAACCTCCATTATTTACAATGAATTAATTATTATGGCATTATGAGCTTGCTGATATATCTAATCCTTTTAAATTACTTTTAAATTACATTTAAAAGGATACCATAAAGTTTTATTTGGAAAACAATGAGTATGATTGTTTGCAATATATAGATTTGGTCGATAATTGTAATTATAATAATTATATAATAAAAGTATTAATTTTTACAGCAATAAATTTTGTCCTATTTCATCTCAAAATTTAATAGATAACCCCCAAAAAAAATTTATCCTAGTCCCATTAAAGCAGCTTACCCCCTACCCCCTCAAAATAATAGGATGCAAACTGTTCCTACCCCTCCCGCTCATGTAGACGCTGATAAAGGGTCCTAAAAAAGAACATAAATTGTGATACAAAATCGCTCCACTAGAGCTGGTTTTTATAAACAGCTAACTCATTATTTTATGCAAGCCTGAAGATTTTGCTCATAGATAACACAAAGGTATAGAAATCTATTAGTGAAATTTTGAGGCTTAGATAATATTTTTCTGGTTAAAATATTGATAGCCATTTTAAAAATTATGTCAAATGGTGCAATTTTACACAATTAGAAGAAATTTTGATAGGGATCAAAAATCGGAATTTTACAAGAACCCCATGTAACTTGCAGAGTTGTTAATCGCTACTTTTAAAAGTAGCGCGCTACCGCTATCGCTATTTGTCAAAAAAATTAGCGCGCTACAGCTACGCTAATTGTTAAAAAAAAGTAGCTCGCTATTAGTTACTATTTTTAAAAAGTAGCTTTAGCTACTTTTAGGCTATTTTTTATAAAAATTTTCATATAATGTAATTTTATAGTAAATAATATATAAAAATCAACATTTATAAATATTAAAATTTAGTTAATTTTGATTATAAAAAAATTTATGTAATAAATTTTAAATATTTATGGTAATTTGTTGAATTTTAATAATAAAATCATTTCAATATTATCATCCCCAAGTCTAGAGCAACGATCAGAAAGTATCAGTTTTGCCTTACTAAATAATCTCTCTGTGTCTCAACTTCTTTGTTGAATTTTAATAATAAAATCATTTCAATATTATCATCCCCAAGTCTAGAGCAACGATCAGAAAGTATCAGTTTTGCCTTACTAAATAATCTCTCTGTGTCTCAACTTCAGCATTATCCTCACCAAATATTCTACATTCATATTAAATAGAATATATTATTCATCCCGTTTTTAATAGAAATGTGTAGTGATATTTATCAAAAATGGAGAGGTAAAATCATTAGGATGCTATTCTAAATTTTAAACCTCAGGAATAATGATGTAACTAAGTAAAAATATTTTATCAAATGAATACATTGAATTCCCTGTACTGTATCTAAATTGATGTATATTAATCAATAAGAAATAAATATAGTAAAAATCTAATCATCCATGAAATATTCAATAACTATATCATATTAAATGTTAAGCTCAATGACACTGTGCAATAAAAACTAATGAAATAATCCATCTCTGTTGTAAATTTTATTAGTTAAATTCACTAATTTTTTTATAATTTGATATAAATTATGATATAATATTACTAAAATATGTATGTATTTAGTTAATAAAAATTCTATATATAATGTGAAATATTAAACAACTTTTAAATAAATACTGAAAAATTTAATTAATAACTTAACTATTACTTGATTTAATTTTATTACTATAAATATTTTAAAAATTAATTTATAATGTGGAAGGCCTACAGCTAATCGGACCCATTATCGGTCACCATCTTGCAAACTTTATTATGAATCCTAAAAGACTTGTGGACGTCAATAATTTTATTTGCAAGTACATCGTATGTCTGACATCCTAGTATCCTTTTGAGGGCTAATGCTATTGATCTTCTTTTTAAAGTCCTAGGGTCTAGCCAATGGCCTGTGATTCTCAAATAAGCTCTAAAAATATTTAATCAGATCAATTTATAAATATAAATAAGTGTTTACCTTCTGTTATGTGTCCAACTATCTGCCGTGCTACATATATGAGATATCTCTGATATATTTACTATTAAAGCATCTTTCATCACTTTAAACTTATCTGCTATTTTATTCACAAGTGTCTGGCGACATAAAATAGTTGTACCAGGTGATAAAGTTTTAATCATCATAGTAAATGATGAATTATCAACCAAGGACATGTATCAATTATAAAATCCACAATAACTTTATCAGTTAATTTCTGAGAAATATTAGCATTTGTATTATTAATTAATTTTGTCTGAATGGAATTAGTCTTTTTGGATGTAGATTCACCTATGTCAAATTTATTTAAATGTTGTTCAATTTTCTTAAAACTATTAGCATGAACAGTCTTATAAAATAAATATTATTTTATGTAAAAATGATAATTTACCTTTAGGTGTTTCTTGAGGTTACAGCTACTGGATTGATTTGAGGAGATATTTTTTTACATTTTAAACATATAAATTTGAAGCCAGTTTTTGTTTTAATATTTATCTTGAAATCTAGGGAATGGGAAAGTATTGCTATGAATATTATTTTCTTCCCTGGTATCTTCCATTTCATTAATATCATTGACTGACTCTGAATCATTTTCAACGATTTGGATATCCATATGCGATGCAATTTTAAATTATTAACAGGTGATTTAGGTTTATAATACAAATTGAAAATATTAATTACAAATTGAAAATATATTTCAATTTCAAAATTAAATAATAAATCATAAAAATTATGATTAATTATGGTATTATATTTAAATTTTCATGCTTATACTTACATTCATTATATTTTTTTAAAGTAGCTACTTCTTTTAAAAAAGTAGCCTCTATTAGCTATAGCTACCAAAAAAGATAGCGCGCTACTTTAACAACTCTGGTAACCTGTTACACTAGTTCACATGACCAGTCCACTCTTGAATCTAGAGATTAGCAATAAATTCCTCACAAATGAAATTTCTTGACACCTTTAATCAAACTAATGGTTACAAATTGACCTAACAGACAGTTCCAACTCTAAATTGAGCCTTTTAACCCTTTCATTCACACTAAAATAAAATATAACCCACTTTTGGGGGTAACTTTTTGTATTTTTTTAAAAATATTTTTTACTTAAGCTTCAAAAAGATTCTTTATGAAATATTGGTTATTATATTCCATCTTTAAAAATATATGGCCTAACAAATAAATATGACCCCATTATTTTCTTAACACAAAAGGGTTAATATTTTAAATCATAATAAATCTAATAGTAGAACTTTGTTAATTTTTTAACCCAAGCTTGGTCCAATTATATAAATTTATAAGTGCAGGTTCTGGAATAATTTATATATATTCCAGAGCTTAGCCCAAATTTTCATCTTACCCTTAAATTATTTTATTTAAAAAATAAATAAGCATTTTTTAAGTTAAATATACAAATCACTAATTAATTGTCCTAATCCAAGAAAAATTCTAATATTATGCGAATAAATTTTCTAGGCCAAAACCCAGCTTTGGGCTCATATAAGCTAATCTTAAATAAAACCTAAATATGTGGAGATTTTAATTTTAAACCTGCTTAATTGAAAATAAATATTTAAAAGAGGTTACCAATTTTTGAACCTTTGCATTATTTCAGATTATAAAAAAGTTAACCAAAACTTGTTTTTGTTTTATCTAATCTTTAAACAATTTTTTATGGGAATTATAAAAGATATTTGGAATGGCATTTATATAAAAATTGCCTTTATTCTATTTAAATCCTTTATTTTATTTGTTCAACTATTATCTTTATTACATTATTGAAGTATTACCACATACAGACTATTAGTTGGTATAAATTTTTTTGGAGGTCCATAAGTATATTGCAGATCTTTGACATTTTTTAAAATGATTATTTAGTTATATATTTTTTTAGTGAAATAGAAAATTTATATTAACAAAATGATATTTACAAGAACAGGCAAATTTCCAAAAGGGGACCCCATCCCTCTTTCTAGTTATGCCAATGAAAAATGAAGTTGGCTTTGGGGAATCATAAAATAAATGAAATTTACTTAATCTCAATTATTTTTTTAGGATAATAAAGACTTTTTAGATACAATTTATTTATTTTATATTATATAAATAATTATAAAATGGGAATATCAATTTTGCATCTGCATTGGTTGTTGCATAACTGGCTTTTCTTTAATTTCACTATGTATTTTAATTTCTCCTTCTTCCTTGGGTTCTAATATAGTAACATGATCTGGTAAAGGATTTTTTGGCCCTATCTTTCCATTTGGGTCATATGGCAACATAATTTTAACTTTAATTCCCAATACACCTATAAATATTTGGTGTTAATATATTATATTTCACATATAACCTTGTCTTAACAATACATGTCTTACAGCTGTATCAACATATTCATTTTTTGGTTCACCACTATGAATCATCAAGCCATCAACAAATTTCATTGACTTTGCTCTTTGTCCTCTAAGCTTCCCAGAAACAACTACTTCACATCCTTGAGCTCCTGCTTCCATTATAAATCTCAACACTCCATAACATGCTCTAATAATATTTGAATTATTGTTTAGTCATGAATAAAAGAACCTCCTAACAGCTAATCCCCCAATTAATTTATATCTCAATGATTCACATTGGGCGATTGCACACAAACCACGAGAGGCAACTTTTTCTGCATATAACTATAAAATAATAAATTAAGCTTTCAGTTATTAAGGATTACTTCTATAGAACCTTCAGGAAAATTAAATCTTTTTTGTATAACTGAAGTTAGTTCTCTGATTCTTTTGCCTTTCTCACCTAAAACATTTTGAGTTCTGGTGGCAGATATTATAATTTCGGTTTTTTTGAGACTACTTCTTATTTCAATACCACTGTACCCATCTTCAGCCAATTCTCGGGTTAAAAATTCATTTAATTCGGCTTTAAAAATTCCATCGGCAACAATCTTAAATGGAAGAATAAAATTTTTATTCTATAAATTATATTTTACTACCTTTCTTTTAATAGTTATACGGTCACGATTAGCCATTATTAAAGGAAATTTAACTGTGATTGTATTTATCCACTAGAAAATATACTATAACAAGATAAAAAATATTTATTGCTTTGTGTTTTCACTAAATTAATTATATATATTATTGTTAAATAATATTTTATTTATTTTATTTAGAGTTTGAAGAGTTAATGATTTTGGTTTTATAATTAAATTCATCACAATTTTGATTCTTTATATTCATTATACAATAAATTAATTAGAATATAAAATTGTAATAAATTAGTGGTTATTATATTATTCATAAAATAATAGAACATTCTAAAAATTTGTAAAAATTATTATTTTATTTCATATAAATAAATCTATATTCTTATAGTTAACTAAAATATTAAATTATTTTAATAGAAAATTTTATCTAGAAGTTTATATATAAGGTTATTTGTAGAAAAAGTTTAAAATTGATTAGCTATAATATTTAAATATCACAAGGTAAATATTATAAGGTTGCTAAATATTTAAAATTAATACAAAATTAATACTTAATCTTGATCTAACAAATTATATATTCAATATAGATATCTAAATACTAAATTTTGTCTAGTAAAAAAAAATCCATAGCCTCTTCGTTAAGCTAGGAAATCTTAAAGTCTATTTTTTAAATTTAAAATTGATTTAAAAAAATTGCCATCAGCTAATATTTTTATTGTTTGATGTATAAATAAATCAATAGAAGTTAAAATTGAATTATGATCGATATATAATAATATATAATCACTAAAGTGTATATACATAATATCGTATTAATTTACTTGGTAAATTATTTTTACAAAAGTAGAATAACCCATAGCGTATTTAAGGGACAGGGGAACCGATATCTAAGTTAAAAAAATGTAGAAATAAATGATGTGATTGTCGATTTTAACAATTAGCAAAATTCTTACACATTCCTTTTATTTATAAATTCTATTAATTACCCATGATTCTTTACTTTTTATTCTCTCCATTTAAACATGTCGATTTTGGATTTTATCCTACAAAAATTCTCGACGAATTATATGTGTGTGTGGTAAAATAAAATATATAATTTCCCTAACTTGATAACAATTTGATAAGCAGAATTAAGCTTGCTAAGGCTAATTCTACCTAAACCCAATTATAATTTATTAAACAATTATAATTTTAGGAAATGCATTAGTAATAATTTGTGTGCGTGGAAGGATGGTCATTGTAAATAAAAATGGATACGGGCCTTCCTGAACCAACGACAAGAAAAATTTTAATTTTTTAACCTGGCTTGTTCTAATTTTTTTATGAAGGAAAAAGCTTTAAATATGCTTAATTGTAAACCTTAAAAAATTGTGACCCTGCTGTTTTTCACAAGTTTTCCGGAATGAATCTTTTTTTGCCGATGGTTTTCTGATCGGGCCGCAACAACTTCAGTCACAATCCTTTCAATCTTAACTCATTTGATTAGAATTATAAAATTTATTTATGTACAAGCTTATCGAAATAAATTTCTGGTCCTCTGAAACGGAGTGTTTGCAAAAATTATTGAAAATCGGTTCATTAAAGAATTAGCAGATATAATATAAAGTTTATATCAGACAGAGACCTGGCCGGGCCATATATCTCAAAACCGAATATATACTATTATTACCTATAAAAATTAAAAATAAATGTTAAATATTTTAAAAAATTCGGGCCGAGCCTAGAAATACAAACCCCGTGCAAGGCCAAAATTTTTTAAAAAAAATCAGGGCTGGGCTGTGCAAATGGTACCTTCGGAGGTCTCTGATATTAAATTAGTAGTAGACTGGGGTTAAATGGTTTAAGATTTTTAGAAAATATAATTGCTAAGAATCTAATCAAAAAATATCATTTAATGATATTCCTTATAAAATATAGTTGAAATCATAGTTCTTTCATCTATAATAGATTTCGAGCTAGATTATCATTTATAAAAATTAATTCTCAGGTCAGTCATCGGGGTAAGGTGTTGAGCGGCCATATATACTTTGTGCGAATTGATATCATTATTACAAATATTAAGTACAGACTATGTTTACTGAACTGATGGCAGGAGTATTGTAACTAACCTGAGTGATTTTAGCGCTCCATACCCACTTTTGGAAAATTAGCATTAAATTTGAAGAATAGACTAGCAGTAACACTTTATTTTTCAAAAAATTTTATAACCAATAAAATTATCACTAAATAGAATGCAGTTTACTTTAATTTAGATAGATATTAAAGAAATAGGTTTTCATTTTAATAACAAATTATATATAATAATATAATATATTCCTTGTGGCGTGATAAATCATTTTTTAGTAAGTTCATTTTCCTTTCACAAACTTGGTAAAACCGGTTAAACATTATAAAAATAAAATGAATGAAAAAAATTAAGATTATATCTTATTTTAAAAAGATACACTATAATACCAATATAAAAACAAAAATATGCCCTACAATTTATTAACAATAAATGAGCAATAAAATTAATGATTCTATGCAATATTTACCGCGAGGGCTTCTTCTTAAGGCAAAGGCTCTCCATCGCAATACACAAGGCTAATTATATTAGCTTCATAAGCAGTCTCTCCCCACAAGATTATCCTTCCTAACCTCAATATATTTTTTTTTATTATTTTTTTAACACCGTCACAAACATATCCTCCAATACTATATTTATTTATTTTTTTAAAATGTTTTTTTTATATGTATATAAATATATATACAAATGTTAATTATATTGTATTATATAAATAATTAGCTAAATAAAGTTATAAATATTTTCTTTAAAAAAAAAAAATTATTTAGTTAATTAAAATTTTTGTTATTAATTAGTTTTAGTCATTGACAATTAGGAAGTTAATTTTTTTTTTAAGTTGTGAATCTCTTGAATTTAAAACATGGGGAAAGTTTGATTAAACTGCAAATACCTTGGAAACTGCAAATTTTGCAAGTATTAATTTAAAGATGTAATGATAATTAATTTATGTTATAATGATTAATAAATAAAATTTGCATATTCATAATAGAAATAAATAAAACATATTTCTTGATCGGAAAGGCAACGGAACATAAAACACAAATGTGCCTTTGTTCCTTATCCCTGACTTTATAATGTTTACTAAAATAATAATGCTTTATATATTTGCTAAAGGGAGGGGAGTTTACAAAATTTATTTAAGACAATAAATGTAATTTAAAGTTATAAATTAAGTATATTTAAGAATAATTTTTTTTTTTTATTAGACTGACCAATCTAATAATGAACATATATAAGTGACAAGGCATACATTAACACATTTTAAATCAATTTTGAGACAAATTAATTCAATTCTAAAGATAGTGGCTATTTAACTCCATTAATTATATAACCCCGGCTCCCCTACTATTATTCTCTTTTACATACAAGTATGATTTTGAACTAAATATAGAGATTAAATATTTTTTTTTAAATATATTGTACTTGCCCCCCCCCTCCCCTTAAGCAAAAATTCTTCTATGGGCCTGATCCTAAATTGAAGTGTTTATGATAAAATTTATTTTATATATATCCTTTTAAACTTTTGGGAACAGAATTTAGCATAACCTAGACATAAAACTGATATAATAGGAGAGACATAGGTTAGGTAAACCCCGGGGCTTGTCAAACCTTTTAATCTCATTTTAAAATTAAATAGCCTAGAAGGTAAAAATTTTAACCTAGTATAGCTTTTATTAGTATGCAATAGGTAAAAAATTCTTTTCAAATAATTAATTATTAAAAATTTTATTTAAGAAATAAAATTTTGATGTAAAATTTAAAAGATTTTTATATGACAGAATATTAATTAATTATATATAAATTAAATTTTATGGCAAAATTTTAACCTTCTTTTATAATTTGAAAAAGTTTTATAAGTATTTATTTTGTCTAGATATTATTTCAATCATGATAAGTCAATTTAGAGCTAGCGGGGCTTACTGAACCATACGCGTCAATTGTGGTTGTTAATATGAAAAAATTATTTCAAAATCTTGGAAAGTAAATATCATGGGTGTGTATCATTAATATTTAGGAATTATGCTAAAAAATCATACCTTAAGATTATTATTTTTAATAGGCCCAAAAAAACTAGTGGTTTAGGAAGGCCCTTGCAGGATTGCCCAACCCCGCTATTGTGGCTTGTTGGCAAAATTTCAACTTTTACAAAAGATATTCAAAAATATGAATATATAATTAAAAATATTTATAAGACACCTTTATAGAGTACGGTTAGTTATAGGCATCTATTCTGTTCTTTATAATATCTAAAAAAACACAAGTTATAGCCGATTTTCAAAAATCGGTTCCAATAGCCCAGTCTCCCCTTTATATAATATCATAATAATTAAAAAATGAAATATAACCTTTTTATATATCTATAATATAATATTAATAATAAATTTATAAACATTAAAATAACTCATCTTAAAAAATATTTAATATATTTTTCTGGCATCTTCAATATTTAAAATAAAGAATTTAATTTACATTTTTATTACTATATTTTATAATTATTCATATAATATATTGCTGTTATAATTTTTTAATAAATCTTATGGTCATTAAAAAGCCTCTGATTAAAAAAAAATGAAGAGCGTAGAATAATTTTACATAAAATACATGCGACCTATATTCATATTCAAGAAAAAAATGTGACGTGTCCACATTTTCTTTATTTTTTAAAAATAAGTTATAATTTAATACAAGTTACCGGGTATCACTGAAAAAAAGAACCTCGATTATGGAAAGTTTTAAGGAAATTTGCATTTCATGTTTAATATAATATTTTATTTTTATATTTAAAAAAAAAGAAAACTAAACAAATATGAACAACCACTCTCTTTGAATAGAATTATAGGATTTAGTGCAGTGTTTAGATTTTAAAAAATCAAAGACCCGGAGGCCCGGCCAGTAAAATTTTTTAAATATAACCGTGTCGGGAAATTTTTTTTAAAAAAATATCAAGGCGGCCTATAATTTTTTTTAACAAAAATAAAATCTAATATTTTAAATCGGTATTTTTAGTTATTTTTTACGGAGACCTCGGCCGGGTTTGATCAAAAAAAAATTAAGACCCATTA